ATCGAAGCTTTATCAAAGAAACTAAGCGCTACCTGTTTTGCGCTAAGATCAATTTCTAAGGAACTTCACTTCTTAACCTCTAAATAGTCTATTATGCCCCTTTTGAGTCGCATTTTCGTTATGCTCTTCCGACAAAATTTGATCGTATTTTCAAAGTTCAAAAGAGAGCGGTTCGATATTTACTGGGACTGAACAGTACAACTCATTGCCAGAATTTCTTTAAAAATTTCAAAATACTGACTCTTCCTTCTTTATTCATTTTTGAATCCGTTTGCTTAATCCGCAAGCACATATCAGCTATTCCCGAAAGGCCACTTCACAACTATCCACTTAGAAATGCGGAGCACGATCTTTATCTGCCAACCCCGAGCTCAGAACTAGTTAAAGGCTCAATACTGTACAATGCCAAAAAATTGTAAAATCATCTGGCTTTGAGCAGCTTTGGGAGCCCTCTATGCGGTAAACGACTTTTTAGTTGATGTTTAATCTTGAACAATTGTGAATTTTAAAATTTTGATCATCTCACACACTGGTTAAAAGTCTAGTATTTAATATTTTATAATAACTATTAAGTGATTATAACCATTTACAATTTTAAAATTGTAAAATTTTTAATGATACTTTTTTTTGTGTTCTGCAATGTATTCTGTATATGTATGTTCTATCTCATTGTGTTCTGTATATGTATGTTCTATTTGTGATTTCAATGAAGTATTTTTTTTGAATTGTATGATTTGTATTGTATGATATTTTTTATTATTTGTATATTTTTTGTGCTTTTGTTTGTTTTTTAAATGCTTTTTCGATGAAACTATTTTGGCTTTCAGTACAATAAAGCATTATTTATTTATTATTATTTATAATCTATAAAGCTCATGAAGACATTTTTTCTCTAATCTTGGCAATACCTTACTAATGTTTGAAGAGTTTTTTGTTTATCGAGACATCCTTATTTATAAATTTAGAAGTATCGATACCAAAAAACACTGTTATCGATATCGAGCAGATACTAGTATTCACTTGATTCGTTCCATCCCTAATCGTAACAACAAACATGACCGTCGGGGACCACACAACACTGAGGGTTGCGTTTTGGGGGGATGGGTATTAAAGTGGGCGGGTCGAATTAAAAAATCATGGAGCGTTTCCGGTTCCGGTCACGGCCGTTGGCGCCACCGTCATTTCCGGTCGCCCGGAAAACCGGATTTCGAATGCTCCGGGGACGGTAATGAATGACAGTCGTTTATTTTTCGACGCGGTCCGTTTTTTGCAGCTTCATTCGCTGGAATCGGGAATGGACGAGGTTAACTGTGATCTAATTGCGAAGTTTGATGTTTATTTATTGATTTGGAGGGCATAAACTTAGATAAATCAGTTTAATTTAAAGATTTGGTTTATTTCTGTTAATTTTTTGTTCAATAAGTATATATGAAGGATACACTGAAAACGTTATAATTAATTTTACAAAAAAATATATAGATACCATTATTGTATTTTTAACAAAAAAACTTTTAAAAACCATATATTTTTGCGTATTTTGCCAAAAAACTTTAATTTTACAAAACAGTCTATTAATATTTAAAGATTATTACTAATCGATATTAAGTTCACAGTAAGTTTTGTGAGTTTAAAAATTCAATTTCAATCAGAAATACAATCTTCGATTTTCGAAAGAAATCAGAACATGTACATTATTTCGTATATTCTTCATTTTATTGATTTTATGGAAAGCACTGTTCATTAAAATGTTGTATCCTATGTTACAGGGCTTGTTTCTCTCTACAATTTCCTGTCTCACAATGTACCGTTTGTGACCAGGAAGGGTTCATAGTTTCATAGATGTCGATTTTCGAAAGAAATCAGAACATGTACATTATTTCGTATATTTTATTGATTTTATGGAAAGTACTGTTCATTAAAATGGTGTATCCTATGTTATAGGGCTTGTTTCTCTCTATAATTTCCTGTCTCACAATGTACCGTTTGTGACCAGGAAGGGTTCATAGTTTCATAGATGTCGATTTTCGAAAGAAATCAGAACACGTACATTATTTCGTATATTCTTCATTTTATTGATTTTATGGAAACCACTGTTCATTAAAATGTTGTATCCTATGTTATAGGGCTTGTTTCTCTCTACAATTTCCTGTCTCACAATGTACCGTTTGTGACCAGGAAGGGTTCATAGTTTCATAGATGTCGATTTTCGAAAGAAATCAGAACATGTACGAAAATCGAAGTTTAACTGTGATCTAAGTTTAACTGTGATCCTTCCATGTTTATTTATTGATTTGGAGGGCATAAACTTAGATAATTCAGTTTAATTTAAAGATTTGATTTATTTCTGTTAATCTTTTGTTCAATAAATATATATGAAAGATACACTAAAAACATTATAAGTAATTTTACAAAAAATATATAGATACCATTATTGTATTTTTAACAAAAAAGCTTTTAAAAATCATATATTTTTGCGCATTTTGCCAAAAAACTTTAATTTTACAAAACAGTCTATTAATATTTAAAGATTATTACTGGTAGTAATGGTGGTAATCACTAAATTTCACGTTTACGCTATACAATTTTTTTTGACAGGCAGTTTTTTTCTCCAAAAATTTTAAATATTTTTTTTCTCGAAAACGGTTAATGTTAGGTATAGAGTGTTTGATATTAAAATGCATAAAATGTTACTGAGAATTAATCAATTATTAATAATACAATTATGTGCAAAAAACCTCCGATCTAGGTATTGTAGTTCACTAGAAACTTCTAATGCACGCTCAGCCTGGGACACCCTGTATATAATATATATATATATATATATATATATATATATATATATATATATATATATATATATATATATATATATATATATATATATATATATATATATATATATATATATATATATATATATATATATATATATATATATATATATATATATATATATATATATATATATTTTTACATAGATAAACGAAACTTAAAAATTTCTACCATGATTAGAAAAGCCTGATAGTCCAATCACATGTTATTTTTACTAGAATTACACAAGGTAAACATTTACACATGTTCTTAGCAATATTTTCATGTTTGCTCTAAATGAACTTTAAATAAGACCTTTTTTCTGTTTACCCTGCAAACAAAACGTCCCGTATTTTTTTATGTCAAGTCAGTTTCCTGTCGTGGGGTATCAATAGCGTAATTCTCTCACAAATAAACTGAATAAGAATTGTTGCACATGAGTAATTCTCAGAGATTATTAGTATTATTATTATTAAGAAATTAACCTATGCATATGCATAATTTTCGAATAAATATGTTAAATAAATATGAAAGCTAAACCGGACATTATTGTTTAGATTTGCATTTGAAGTATGCGAATATGTAAAATATAAATTTAAACAAACAAAATTAAATAAGATAGAGGTCCTTTAAATTTCTTTCTATTTACATTTAGAAGATTCTTAAATTTTCTGTAAAAAATTATTGGGATTCCCTTTGGCTTAGTTATTTCTCAATTTCATATTTCATTATAATATATCTCAATTTCAGTTTCTTTTGTTCAGATATGATTTAAATTATTTCACATTGCTAATGATCCACGAATATTATTTGTATGTTAATAAAACATTTTAAATTTATAAAAACTAACTATACACACTATACAGAGTGACTCTTAAAAGTGCAAGTATACTGGTAATATGTTTGACCTTACGAACTTGCCCTTGTATTTTTTTAGTTGAATGTCTTAAAAATAATGATTATTCATCACTAAATAAATTTAATAATTCTTAACAATAAGTAGGTAGTTAATTAGATTTTAGAAATTCGATTTTCTAAACAACGGTGAATACAGATTCTATGGGAAAAACTTGTAATATGTTCAAAAGTTGTAGTTTTCCGGTGAAACATGATGTGACAGAAAACAATTGAAGGGGTGGCTGCAATAACCAGGCAGCTCCATTTTAATAAATTTGTGGGAAATCGAAAAAGAGCTGCTCGGTTCTTGCTGCAAACCCAAACCAAGGCAGCTCCAACTAACGTCGCCATTTATGTATTGTTATATTGAGAGAACTGATTGTTGCAGGAAGTTTAGTTTGTGGAGCTGCTTGGTTATTGCAGCTACCCTTTCAATTGAATGCGCCAATCCATCCTAATTTATGATGTATACTACAACATACCAAATTTCGTTTTTTTAGAGAAACACCAGGTATAAGGTCGCAGTCGGGAAATTCATTCACAAATTAATTTTGTGATCTAAAAAATTGAATACCTAATCAATTTTAACAGAACAGATTAAGGAAATTCCTGGTCACAGATTAACCTACAGATATGGCACTTATTTCATCTTGCTGATAAACGCCGCCGTGGTCTCGGACCTTTAAAAGGGTTATGGCGTTGTTAGACTTCGTTTTTTTCTCAAATGCATTGTTGCCTTTTGTAAAAAAATGTATTCCCAATTGAAATAATACTTAATCTGTGGAATAGCCTTTTTATAGCGATTCATCATACGCATGTGCATATGTAAAGGGACCGAATGACATCCTTGTTTTATTTAGTGTTTCCCTCTTACTGATAAATCTGTGTTAATCTGTGTCCTGGTGATATTGGCGTTTGTATTTTTTAGTCATTGGATCTAACCTAGAAATTTGGATCTAACCTAGAGCTAAATATACAGGGCGTCCCAAAAATAAGAGCAAATATTTTAACTGGTAGCTTAAATATACATGAAAGAAAATCCAGACCAGAGGTTCTCAAAATTTTAGCAAAAAATTATTTTTTTTTGGAAATTTTCAAAGTAAAATAACTCGGTTATTATGGACTTATTTGAAAAACGGTAAAGAGAAAAAATGTTTCTTTTGACCAGATCTACCACCTCTTAAAATATTTGCACTTATTTCTTCTATTCTTATTATCTCCCTCTATAGTATTTTAGTAGGAATACACCGAGAATAAACATCAAAATTGGTTAGATTTGCATTGCTACGTACTTTAATACTTACGTGACCCATGTCTTTCTCCTCTTTTTTCGGTTTCTTCAATTCGGATGGTTCTTGAGGCGTCCTGGGTCGGTACTTTTCACGTTCCACAGGAGATATCGAGTTCCTCTGTAACAAAATAAAACTATATTAAAACCGCATTCCTTTCTGAATCATTAAAAAATAATTACAATAATTTTTTTAGCAAAGATTAGATAGACCAACTGCGTACATTATACTGATCAGGATATAAAGCCTTGCAGAAATTACTTCATTGCCCAAACATTCAACGTACGAGTATACCACAATGCTATCAATTGCCTCTTCAAGTAGCATGAAGTAAAATGAAATTGTCAATCATTGTAATTTGTAAATCACTGCCCTGTTGTCAGTCCATAACCAACCTTTTATCATCCACATTGATGAAATACCGACAGGCAATACTGTTTTGGTTCATACTGTTTGGTAGCCGCAAAATTAATAGACATAAAATAAAATTCAAAATATTTTTTTTTTATCGAAATTTAGGACTTTTGGTAATTGTTTGGCTATTAGCTAGAACTTAAAATATATTTTTTATCGAAATTTAGGATTTTTGGTAATTCTTTGGCTATTAGCTAGAACTATTTTTAGCTAAACAAAAAGTATTTTAAACAACAAATATTATTTGTTGTGTGAGTATTGGTTGTATACTATTCACTCAAATCCAATGCCTTGACTGTTCCGCTTTAAAAATGAAAATACTTAGCAAAATAGCATTGTACTGTTTTAAGCTCTATGTTCACAGTTAAAATAAAAACACGGTAGAATACAAATCATGCAACGGAGAATAGAAAGGTCCATGTTGGGAGTTACACTTAGAGATAAAATACCCAATCATACCATACGAAATCGAACAGGAGTAAGAGATGCGGTGATATCTGTCTTACATCTTAAATAGAATTGGGCAGGACATATGGCTAGGATAACAGATGGACGGTGGACAAAGAGACTTGTGGAATGAAGACCAAGACACGAGGCCTATAGAAGCAGAGGACGACCTCCTAGTCGATAGACAGAGGATACTAAGAGAGTGGCTGGAAACTGGATTCAAGTGGCACAAAATAGAAAGAAATGGCTAGAGTTAAGGGAGGGTTTTGTTTAGCAATGGACGGAATAAGCTAAATGATGATGATGATGAAGATGTATATAGCCACCTTTTATTATTAGCCGAGCATACCAATAGGTATGGTAGGCTATAAAGATCGACAAAAAAAAAGTTTTTTTAATTTTACTCAATATGAGTTATTTGGGTCATACATGACCTAAATACAAAATATTTTCATGGCCTGTCTGTCTGTCTGTCCGTTTGTCTGTCCGTCTGTAACACGATAACTCTAAAACCGCTGAACCGATTTTAACCAAATTTGGCACAAAAATACTGTGGCACCCGAGAATCAGGCCATTAGTTTTTGGTGGGGGTGGGGGACTGGTAAGGGTGTATGGGAGGGGGTTAAACATTTTAAAAAATCGTAACTCCAAAATTACAGTAGCTAGCGAAACGCGGTTTTCAAATTAAGATTAGGAATAATATTTGCAACAAAATTTGTAATAATATCAAAATCAGTCAAAGTCGCAGTTTTTGAGATATTAACATATTTTAGTATGGGCGGCTATACGTGCCTCCAGGCGCCAATTTTTTTTATATATTTTTTTCGAAAAATAGGGCCACCCCGTAAACGACGGTTCCATTCTTCCATCATTCTGGCTTCTGGCGTTTGCAGTGTCGTAAATATCAGGCGGAATATACGTTCGGTGGCGCTTTACACTGCCGCTACGCGATCCAAAGTCCTTCCGAACGCCCATAAATTATATATGCCGCCCTTCTGAATATATGCCATTACCGATATACGGTTCTGCATATGTGCTGGAGACAGGTAGGGAATAGGGGTAAGGGGGGACGTATATAGTTTAGAAATGGTGGCAATATTTTACGTAGATGAGGAATGTTGTTGCGAATGCAACGAAAATATATTCAGGAGAACGCGGTGAATATAAAGAGATTATATATATTCTGTTCGTTTATTTAAAACTAAATTCCCCGGCATAAAATTCCGTCACCCTAATAATTTGACGTTTCTTTGAAGTTTGATGTTTCATAACTTTTTAATTTGTTATCCGATTTTATGATTATGGTATTGGTTTGTAGATAAATTTGTTGGTATTATTTTTTTTTATTATTTTATTGGCTTATACAGGGTGTTTGAAAAACATGTACCATCTCTCGTGAGGAGATTCTTCACGTAAAAATATGATTTATTTTTCATATCAACATAGGCTCGATTCTGCTTTGTTTCGTAGCTACAGTATAGTAGCTAAAATTTTGAGGATAAAAATTACTATAAGTGCTACATATTTTAATGAAAATTAAATTAATTAATTTCAGGTGACGATAATGCAATTTTATCGTCGTGTAGAAAACAATATTTTTTTCCATAGCAAGTTACGTTTTAAAAAATATTCAGAAATTATTATTTCATGGAATTTATTACGAGTAGAAAGAATATTGTGCTGGGTTGGCGTTGGTTTCTATGTAATTTGACAAATAAATAAAGCTGTCTCTTTAGTTGTCAGTTTTGAATCAATATTTTTTTATACAATTCTCTTTCGTGTCGATTGCTCAATGAAATGGAGCCAGAAATGGCTCAAAACGAAATAAGTAAATTACCAACAGATATTCAGGCTGAGGCGACAAACGCCATATCCAAACTACTTCCATTTAAATCCCGAATAACTTATGAAAAGGAATACAAAAATTTTCAAAATTGGAAGCAATTAAAAAACGTGCGAGAAGAAATGAAGTGTTTAACGTATCCTCGCTGTTAAAGTATCATTTAATCTACCCTTGCGGTAAAAGTATTATTTTATCTACTATTTTTGATAGATATAACTTATATCTATCAAAAATAGTAGATAAAATAATACTTTTGCCTTATATCATATAAGGCAATTTTAACAGTTGCCATGGAAAAAAAGTGCTTTGCTTTTGTGCTTAGGCGTTAAAATGACTTTTTATATTGTCAATCACGTCGCAAAAATTAATACTTTTGTGACGTTTGAAAAAAAAAATATTTTTGCAACTTTAATCTAAATAAAATATCTGTTACAATCATTTAATCTATGAAGTAAAATAAAGCGCTGCTCAGTATCTTAAATTATACCATAATATAAATATACCATAATTAAATTTAAACATTATACCATAATTAAATTTAAACATTATACCATAATTAAATTTAAACATTTTTGCCAAAATTTAATTTAGTCAGGTTTATAGGCTTTAGTGTAAATTTCGATATGATTAATGACGTGCATCGAAAAATGTTTTAATGCGATTACCATATAAATATTGCATGATCGAAAAAAAGGCGTCCAGTTGACTTGGAAATGACGATAAATAACATTGTATAATTTTACATATAAAATGACAACGATCTTCATTTCAAAGCCATCGCAGACGCCGTTTTCGTCTATCATATTTCACAACATTTCAAGAAAAATTAAATATCTGTAATGAAAAATCACCCTAGAATTTTACTACGAAACCTCTCTTTATTCACCCCATTCATTCTCATCCTCTAACCCTCCAACGTGTTCCGACCAATTTCACCCAAATTTCTTCGACATCTTTCCTCCTTCTCCACGTTTCTCCACGGTTTATTTCACGAAGGGGAAAATATTCGCTCTCGCAGAATCCAATTCGAAAATAAAACCACCAGGACGTCGTCTCTCGTCGCTGCTGAGACGTCTGAATTATGCTTTCCGAGTGAAAAACAGAAAAAGGAACGGCTTAGAGGGTCGGACGGGAATATTTCCTCACATATTTTTCGGGTGGATGGTCGTAGTGTCGACTTGGAGAGGAGGATAAGGAGAATGGGGTTGGAAAATGAGATTAGAATGGATTTTTTGGGGGGAAGAAAGAATTTTGATATAGGGCTTAAAAAGTGTTTCTTTCTTAGATTTGGCAAATAAAACATTGGTGTTTTAAACAGCTAAAAGTAGGCGTGCTCTTCGTGTTTTTTCAGGAAGAAAATATATGTCAAAATCAATAGCGTTACTATCATCAGGATATGATGTTTATGAAGATCTTTAGGACAATACCGGAAGTTGACGGCAACTTTCTTATTTTAAATGGGTGCCCCCATTTTTTATTACATAATAACCAGTCTAACATGGACCGTTTTTGAGAAAACTAATATTTAAAATTTTAGAATTGTTCGAATGTCATATAATAATGGCCACAGCTGTCATAGAATTGAGTGATTAAAAAATTATCATAAATCATTTTTTTCAAATGGAAACCCACTTTTTTTATTTCACTAGTGAAAAGGTTTTTCAATTCGTTACTTTTTGACTACGCATGTTCCTATACCCAAAATAAATCGTTTTTAAGTTATTTAAGATTTAGTTTTAAAGCGTATATTTTCTTGATTTTAACCAGTAGCCTATGACTTTAAACGTCAAGTGAAGTAAAAAATGATTTATGATAATTTTTTAATCGCTCAATTCCATGACAGCTACCGCCACTATTATATGACATTTAAACAATTTAATTTTTGAAATGGCTAGCCACATGTCTTCTTTTTATATCACAGTGGCTATGGTAATCACTAAATTTGACGTTTAGGCTATACAATTTTTTTTTGACAGGTAGTTTTTTACGTCCATAAATTTTTAATATTTTTTTTCTTCTCAAAAACGGTTAATGTTAGGTATAGAGTGTTTGACATCAATATTCATAGAATTTTACTGCCCTTTAAGTTAAAATAAGAAAATTGCTGTCAACTTCCGGTATTTCCGGAAATGCCGCCATATTGAAAATATTTTTAATCGATGGATTTCGTTGTAAAACAATAATGTGCAAAAAATCTCCAATCTAAATATTGTGGTTCTCTAGAAACTTCTAAAACACGCTCAGCCTGGGACACCCTGTACACCATTTAGTATAGTATGCAGCTCCGTCTAAAGAAAATAAATTTCTTATAATAACTATGAAAATTGAAACACAACATATTCTTCGCAATAATGAAACTTGGTGTGGCTCTTACAAATCATTTACACTGTATAGAGCACCCGTACTGTTATCGATA